CCCTTCGAATGGTATGGTTGTTGTGTGCTTTTAAATTGTGGTATTGTTCTGTTCGTCTTTTTTATCCCTTGTCTGTACCCCCTTCCGTGACTTGGATTGTGAGCCGCCCTGAGTCCCCTCTGGGGAAAAGGGCGGCATATAAATGCAATAAATTCCAATTCCTGAGCTCCGAAAGGTTGGTGACTTCTGCAGTGGTCTTAACATCCTCTAGTTCAAGAGCCAAGATGAGGGCAGAACCACAAATGGCAAGATTCCGAAAAGCAGAAGGAGAAAAAAGAATGAATTGGTGCCTGCGGGGTATCCACCCTTAAGGCTGTGACGCAGAGGTGCAACCGACGGTTACTTCCTCTTCCCAAAACCGCTGTACTCCCCATTCTCGCTCGGAAAGGCATCTCTGATTCTCCACCTGCAGCAATTGGGGATCACAGCCCGGGAGCTCAGGTCGCCCTCGCCAAAGCGCCAGTGAATATACCGCTCGTAAGCGCAGTGCCGGAAGGGCTTGTTGGCGGCCCCGGAACCTTGCAAATCCAAGAAGGGATCTTTGTAGAGCAGAACAAACTCCAGCACGGATCGGGAGAGGACGAGCTGCTGAAAGAAAGGTGAATCGGCGATGCAGGCTCCGTCGGTTTTTCGGCAGCAGAGACGTTCGCAGAAAGGGTCTGCCGGACGGCACTTCCCACAGCAGCACCAAGAAGGACGTTCGCGGAAGCAAGGACCCTCCCTTCGGTTCTGGAGGAGCTGCAGCTCTTCTGGGTTTTGCGGGGACGTGGTCCGATCCCGATATGGAAGTTGGGAAGACGGCATGAAATCGCCTTGGGACTTCTGTTGGCGAAAAACATCATATTGCATCACCGCACTGAGCCGCGGTGGAGCAGTGGTTAGAGTGCAGGCTGCTACTGCTGCTTGCCAGCTGCCAGGAGTTTGGCAGTTCGAATCCCACCAGGCTCCAGGTGGTCTCAGCCTTCCATCCTTCCGAGGTGAGTAAAATGGGGACCCAGATTGTTGGGGGCAAGAGGCTGACTCTATAAACCGCTTAGAGAGGGCGGTGAAGCACTGTGAAGTGGTATATAACTCTATTGGTATTCCTATCTTCCTTCCTTCCTTCCTTCCTTCCTTCCTTCCTTCCCTCCCTCCCTCCCTCCTCTCTTGTTTAGAATGCAGTATTGCAGGCTAATTCCGCCAACTGCCAACAGTTCGATTCTGACTGACTCAAAGTTGACTCAGCCTTCCATCCTTCCGAGGTGGATAAAATGAGGACCCAGATTGTTGGGGGCAAGAGGCTGACTCTGTAAACCGCTGAGAGAGGGCTGTAAAAGCACTGTAAAGCGGTATATAAGTGTAAGTACTATTGCTATATTGGTTTGTGATGGTTATTCTCCTTCCTTCTTCCTCTATTTTGTTCTGTTCTATTCTATTCTATTCTATTCTATAATGTGAATGTGGCCACTGGAGAAGAGAAACACAATGATGATGGTTATTCTCCTTCCTTCTTCCTCTGTTCTATTCTATTCTATTCTATTCTATAATGTGAATGTGGCCACTGGAGAAGAGAAACACCACCGTGACAATCCAAGCTTTTAGTGTGTTACTAAACTGTTGACTTTGAGCCTTGGGTGCTTTCAATCTACTCACAAATCCCTAGGCAGGTACCCTGGCCGATACCTGCGCACACACCCCGATAAAAAAGGCGATCCCAAACTCACGTCAATCATCCTGCCCTTGATGTTCTGCAAACTGGTCTCGGACAACTTGTCAATCATCAGGATGCCAGGCTCATCAACAAAGGTCACGTAGAACAGAGTCTGTCCGGATCCCAGCCAACGAAACCCCAAAAGGAGATAAGATTTAGTATTTTACTGGATAGGTGTGATATTCTGTAATGATTAACAAAACAGCTCAAGATTCCACCTTGCACCAACACAAGGAAACTATTCCCCAGGATGTCAAAAACACAAAAGGGAAGGATATTCTGCATATATCATGTATCAGATCTGCAAGCCTATCATATCACTCCATCCCAGCACTGATGGTGTTGCCTAGCTGGGTCATGAAACGTCTGCGAGAAAACCACTAAGCTCAGAGAGCACTAAAGACCTCACAGTCTCAGCTCTGCTTGACAGTGGATTGATTATTATTTTATTATTAGTTTGATTATTTTTCAAACCTTACAAAAGGCTCGTAGTAGAATTTGGTATA